AATTTTATGCGCTGGGGCTCGGCTTTCCACAGCTCAGTCCACGTGACTTTGCGCTCTGCTGCTTGGTCCCATCGCGTCCAGGCTCCCTGCTGCCGCATTCCAAGCACCCTGCCGGACTGCTCTTCTTCCACTGCTGCCCGCACTTCTTCCTGGAGCAGCGTCCTCCTCCTCTTCTCCTTTGCCTTCCCGCAGCAAGGTGTTGTGCTGCTACCAAGGCCTGCTCTTCCCCAAGCCACTGTCCCCACCAGAGTCCTGTGCCGCAGCCGTGACTCCGCCACTTCCACAGTCTCTGCCGCCCTCCACTTCCTCCCCGTCCGGACCTCGATACCAGCCTGAGAGACTTTTGGGTCACATGACTCTCTGTATTGCAGCACCTCCCTAGTTCGGCTCACCTTGAATTCCTCATTCAGGCTGCTGAAGGAGAGCTTCAGCATGTTGTTCTTTCCGTATAGGGCAATGCTGCTCAGGCTCCGCGGTACACCCAGCCACTTCCGCAGGAACCTGCTGACTCTCCTTTCAAAGCCCTCAACTGTGGAGATTGGGACCTCATACACAAGGAGGGGCCAGAGAATCCTTGGAAGGATGCCATGTTGGTACACCCAGGCCTTGAACTTGCCAGGTAGACCTGATTTGTCCACCGTAGCTAGCCAAGCCTCCAGATCTTGATTGGTCGCGTTGATGGCTGCTGTGTCTCTCAGGCTGCAGTTGAAAACTTTCCCCAGGCTCTTCACCGGCTTCTCGGTGATGGATGGTATCTGGGTGCCGCCAAGTGTAAAGATGAACTTGTTGGTGACTTTTCCTTTCTTTAGCACAAGGGATCTCGATTTAGCGGGCTTAAAGGTCATGCGGGCCCAGGTGATCAGTTCTTCCAGCCCCTTCAAGATCCACCTGCTCCCTGGGACATTTGAAGTTGTCACGGTCAGGTCGTCCATGAAGGCCCTGATGGGCGGCTGCCTGACACCAGACTTGGTTAGGGGCCCTCTGCACTGAACCTCGGTGGACTTCGCCAGCATGTTCATAGCAAGTGCGAAGAGGATCACTGAAATGGTACATCCGGTGATGATTCCCTTCTCCAGCTTGTGCCAGTCCGATGTTATGGATCCTGCTGCAACCCTCAGACTGAACCTGTTATAATAGTCCAGAATGAGGTCTCTGAACTTAGCTGGGACATGGTGGCGGCACAGTGTCCGCTCGACGAGCTTATGAGGTATGGATCCATATGCGTTCGCAAGGTCCAGCCACAGCACGACTAAGTCTCCCTTGCTCTCTCTGGCTTCCCTGATCAGCTGAGTGACCACGCCATTGTGCTCCAGACACCCTGGTATCTTTGGGATCCCTCCCTTCTGGACCGAGGTGTCGATGTAGGAGTTCCTGAGGAGGTAGTCAGTTAGACGCCTTGCCACAATGATGAAGAATAATTTCCCTTCAACACTGAGCAGGAAGATGGTTCTAAACTGATCGATGTTTGTAGACCCTTCCTCCTTCGGAATCCATACACCTTCTGCAAATTGCCACTGCTCGGCAACCTTTCCCCTCCTCCAGATTACCTTCAAAATCCTCCAGAGCCTGTGGAGTAACTTTGGGCAGTTCTTGTACACCTTGTAAGGTACCCCACTAGGTCCGGGGGCTGAGCTTGATCTTGCCTTTTTGACTACCTCCTGGATTTCCTTCCAGCTGGGCTCCCTCCCATCGAAGTCCACTGTTGGTGCTGGTGGGTCAATCAGGGACTGGCAGTCTCCCAGGTCTTGCTCCCTGGATGCATCTCCATAGGTTGCAGCCAGGTGATGGTTGACCTCTGCTTTGGAACAGGTAAGTTGACCACTGCGTTTCTGCCCCAGCAGCTGCTTTGTAAACCCAAACGGGTTTGCTAGAAAGGCAGTGCGCTTCCTGGCTCTTTCCTTCCTTCTTCTCCTATGCCACTCAGCCCTCCTCAAAGTCAGGAGCTTCTTTCGAAGTATGTTGCGCAGCTCTGAGAGCGGTCCCCTCTCCTCCTCTCTTGCCTGCTTAAACTGCCGCCTCAGGACCCTCAGTTCCTTCCTGAGCTGGTGGATCTTGTGTGCTCGATTGCTCATGGTGTAGGGCAATCTCCCTGCTTTCTTCTCCTCCAGGCCAAATCTCTCAGCTCCCATGCTGATGATGATGGTGGTCATGGTCTGGAGACGCCGATCGACTTCCCCCTTGGCTGTTGCTTCTAAGATGGAGTCGGTGTCCTCATCAAGATGGACAGCTTACAAAAAATAGTTTTCTGACAATGTCTTTACATGGTTAAGTACGGTAAATGATCTACTGGAGGATAATTGAACTCTCAGATCCTGGGTTAGGTTTTTATTTAATTTAACCCTTTTTTTATTGTTATTAAATGCATAAATCCCAGATCCCTTTTTTAGGAAAGATGGTTGTTCCTTATAATTTCAAGTCCCAAAACCTTTATTTTCCTTTTAATCTAGATTTGTTTGTGTCATATTTTTCAGAAAATAAGTATAAAATCTGCTCTTGCGAAAGAAAATAGAAATATTAGAAAATAGAAAATTCAAATTAAACCAATACTTTGGTCAACACTTATGCCATGTTGCCTTATTCAACAGATTAAAGCTTTTTCTTACAAGACATACGCTAATAAACTTTATTTTTACCAGGTCTAGATAAAGCACACTTTGCAGAATCATTGTTTTTTTTCAAGATTTATTTTTGAAAAATTAGTTGGAAGTTTGCAGGTTAAGCAAAACAAAGTTCCAGAGAAAAAAAAAGAGTTTTTCTACACCATTTCTGAGAAACATGGAAATCAGCATGACTTGACATTTTAGTTAGGTGGACAAAAAATGCGGAAGAGAGGTTTCTTCTCCTTAGAATGGAAGAAGTGACATATTTTCCACCCAGACATCAGAACCACACAGGAAATGTCACATTTATTTTAACAATTTTGGGATCTAAAAAGTTTGTGTGTGGGGAGGGGGATTTTTATTCATCATTAAAGTCATTAGGGACTTTAAGAATTAATATAAAAATATTCAAAACTGGATATCTATATTCATTTTGAAGAGACACTGCATAACTTTATTTCAATTTATAATAGCTTCAATTTCAAGCTGGCGCAATGGGTAGCACTATTGCCTTGCTGCAAGAAGGTTCTGGCTTCGATTCCCGACCATGCCTTTCTGCATGGAGTTTACATGTTCTCCCGGAGCATGCATGGATTCTCTCCGGGTACTCCGGCTTCCTCCCACAGTCCAAAAACACGACTCTTAGGTTCATTGGCTTCTATAAAAATTTTCACAAAAAAGGTGGGAGTGTGTGAGTGAATGGTTGTTTGTCTCTGTATTGCCCTGCGATGGATGGGCGACCTGTACAGGGTGTACCCCGCCTCTCGTCCGTACACAGCTGGAGGTGCGCCACATCCCCTCGTGACCCCGTTTGGGATAAGCATGATGGAAAATGGATGGATGGATTTACAAGTCTACTCATTCTAATGCATAGTCATGCTCTGCACTGGCTGCACTTTTCAAAACCTTACCTTTATTACTTTATAGCGTTGGATCCGTGTGAGGAGTCATGTGACCCAGAGAGCTGCGTTCCTGTGGTCTGAGATTTAAACATTAGAACTAACTAAACTAAAAGGCAATTATAAAGGAACTAGTTAATAGCAGTAACTAGCTATGTAACTTATTATTATATAAAAGTCAATTAAAAGCACGCCGTGTAACTTTTTGCCACTAGGGGGTCGTCTAGTGCCCCTGATGGAAACAAGCACTGTCACTAAAGTCAACAGTCAGCCGCCCAGTCTCCTGTGTCTTCATCATCATCATCATCATCTTTATTTGTAAAGCGCTTTATAACAGTTACAGCTGAAAACAAAGAGCTGAACATACAGTAGCTAGTAAAGTGATACGTTCTTCCAGGTCACATGACCGGGCTAATGATCGTTTATCTTCGCCCAACCTATATAGTCGATATTTCAAGAGGGGAGCCCCGCTCGTAGCATTGATTGTGTGAAATGCTGTATATTAGCCAGAGGAATCATTTAAAATAACTCATATGCGTCAGCTCTTTAGGTCACAAAGTCCACACACAGTATCCCTTTAAACAGATTTGTTGTTTTTTACTTATAAATAGGGACGAAAGTTTCCTGGTGGAAAGCACACATGACAGCGACCTGCAACTTCAGCATGCATTGAGGAGAGATGACGACGCAGAGGCCCTCATTCAATGACAGCGCTCCTAGCGTATAGCGCTCACTGAAGGCTAAATATTGCTGTGATTTGCTAATTATGTGCGGGAACAAAGACTTTATAAACGTGGATTAGAAGCTATTTAAAGAAGCTCAGGACATCATCTCAGCTGACTGCCATCTGCTGCCTTTAATCAACACATGTTCATTACTTTCTCAGGGCTGTACTGATTTTACTTGCATAGTTTCCGTTTCTCACGCACAAATCCTTAATATAACAGTCCTGCTAGTTTTTTTTTCTTAAATAGTGTAAATCCTGTTTAATTCTATTGCAAACTATATTTTAATATACTTAAGTTGCTTTAAAAGCATTATTTTCTTAGCTTCATACCTATTTTATAGCCAATTAAAAGCCAATATGTAAAAAGCTATAAAGTTCTAAAAACTCTTCACTTGTCTAACAACACGCTGAAATAGTACGGATAAGTTTTTATTTTTTTCAGATCTGTGGATCTTTAAACACCTATTTTCTATAATTTAACCTCTAGTTGTACTTTAGGTTCCAAAAGCCAGAAAGTTTTCCAAATTCTTCGACGTATTAGATCATAAATATTAACTGCATAGTTACTTTAGTAGTAGTAACTGAGTTACTCAGTTATTTTCTTGCAGAAGTAACTAGTAACAATAACTAGTTACTTTTTTAAGTACGTTGCATCTACCTTATCTACAGGTCAGGCGCCCCCTGGTGGCTGAACGTTACACAGCGTTGCTTTAATGAACTGCAGGACTGTGTCTTTGAACATGTGAACAGTTGCCCTCCTGTTGTCCCCTGCAGCTGCTGGAGCAGGCTCTGGTGATCGAGGAGCAGTTGCGGCGGGCTGCTTATTTAAACATGACCCAGGACCCGAGTCACCCAGCCATGGCGCTGAACGCTCGCTTTGCAGAGGTGGAGTGCCTGGCGGAGTCGCACCAACACCTTAGCAAGGAGTCGCTGGCAGGAAACAAGCCAGCCAACGCTGTTCTGCACAAAGGTCAGTAATAAAACTGGAGACGGCTCTGGTCAGAACGTTGAATCCACAGATTAAAGGAGCATAGATTGGTTGGGCTACAAACAACTTCCATTGCTCTTAAAAAAAACTAATTTTCTGAAGCTTTAAACCATACAGTAAAGAAAAAAAAATTAAGTCCAGTTGATGTCAATAAAAATATCCTTTAAATACTTCAGGTTACCCCTAAAAACCAACATCTAGACAGCGGAAACTCTGGCAGAGCTGGGTGTTGAGATGTGATGATGTTAAACACAAATTAAAACAGGTGCAATTGATCCACCTTTTGAGAAAATGGGACCTATGCCCTTTAGAGGTGTGCAAAATAATCGTCATGATGATGCATCGCGATTCTAATTTTTTTGATCTACTGAATCGATTCTTGACGCCAAGTTTCGATTCTTAATAAAAAAAAAAAAGGAATAAATAAAATACATGAATGGTTGGCGCACATCAGCCAAAAACAAATGTAATACTACTTCCAGTACAGTAGATGTCGCTGCGGATGTGTTGACGCCTGCTGCCTTGTGTCAAAAGCATTTCTGGCCGCCGGATACTGCGACCAGTCATTCATAAACAAAACATTGAGGAGACTGAGAAAATTCCATCACAAGTCAGATGTTTGGATGAATTTTGGCTTTAAAAACAAAGAAGGTAAAAAACAAAATTGATATGACTCACGTAATTTGCAAAAGGGGAAATGTCATACCATTGAATGTTTTCATTTCATTGGTCTAAAGGAAACGGCACTGATAATATTTGTTTCCAGTATTTGTTTTCATGGCAATACCTCCAAAAGCTGTATGGCTGTATTTTTTTCTAACAGTGTTTAGTGAAAATATGGCGATGCATCGCAATATTTCAAGTATTGTGATGCATCGTAATTGAATCGCATCGTGGCATGTGAATCGTGATTCGAATCGTCACTTCTTTGGCAATGCCCACCCCTAATACCCTTGTTATGACAAAATCTGTGACCCTTAACAACTGTTATGACGATTTATGCGTATAGCTACAAGAGTTTAGTTAAAAATGGAAAAGCCGCCAATTATGAGGGGAGTTTTGCTTTGCTTTTTCTCATTTTTAGAGCAACTTTGATGGGTTTCATTTCAAAAGGAGCAGGTATAAACTTCAAAGTAGCCAAACTGGTATTTTAACCTAATTCTGAGTACTTTTAAAATTCATTAATCCAACACTTCGCCTTAACAGTGTTAAGGGTCACAGTTTTTGTCGAGTCACAAATTTTGTCGTAACACTCTGAAGTTGAGTCCGTAGCGGTAAATTACACTGCAAATACAATCTAGAAATGTCAAAATTTCTTAGATTAAGTGTATTCAGCCTTAATTTGAGAAGGAAAGTTAGATGATTTGCCAATGGAATGAGTATTTTCATACTATTTAAATAAGATAATTAGATAATATGCACTTAAAATTAGACAATGCAATTTTTTTTCTTATTCTAAGTATAAATTGTTCTGTAAGTGTCTCACTTACCTCTTCAATCTAGAACAAATACTTTCCATTTTTTTCAGTGAAACTCCTGTAACTCTTTTATTTGCAGTTCTTCAACTGAAAACATTTTAACACCTTTGTTGAAAATTATGTAAACTTGCCAAGTAAGATCGAGAGTTTTTGCTCCTTTATGAAGCTTTTTTGACCAATGAGGAGTTTTTTAAGGAAGTATCTGGCACTACTGTAAAACTATAAACATCACCAAAGCTCTGTCGTCTTGTTCGTTGTTTTCTGGGAAGTGATTTAAAGAGGGAGCTGCTCAGTGAGACAGTGGGTAGGCCTGTTGTCTTGCAGTAAGAAGGTTCTGGGTTCGATACCTGGCCCAAAGTCTTTCTGCAGGGAGTTTGCAGTTCTCCCTGAGCATGCATGGGTTCTCTCCGGGTACTCCGGCTTCCTCCCACAGTTCAAAAACATGACTGTCAGGTTAATTGGCTTCTCTAAATTCTCCTTAGGTGTGAGTGAATGTTGTTTGTCTCTGATTTGCCCTGCGATGGACTGATGACCCTGCTCAGGGTGTACCCCGCATCTCGCCCGTAGACAGCTGGAGATGGGCACCAGCATCCCTTGCAACCCTGGCTGGGATAAAGCGTGACAGAAAATAGATGGATGGATGGATTTAAAGAGGGGGAAAAAAAATAAAAGTGGATTGAATGTCTCAGTTTTAACACAATCCAAAGCTGCTATTAAAACATTTCTTTATCGTTTTTGTGCAAATTTGCCATTAAGATGCTTTGGGTGTAAACACATCTAAAACTGAAATAAACTTTTACACATTTTGCTGACAAGATTTCCTGCAAACATTCATGCTGCTATGAAGCTGTTTACTAATGAAAATAACGTCTGGAATCCTGCCAGAACCTTCTAGATTTCTTTAAAATATGCTCTGCATCTATCTTAGCACTATTCATCTTATTGGATAAATTGGCTTCATAAGAAAAACAGAAACCTTTTGCACTTAAGATCATTAAACTTTTATGTTGTGTCAGCGTTTCACCCTGGAAGGAGAACAAATCCGACATTCCTGCTCTTTGGTGAGGGTGTGTGTAAACCTCCCCGGACCTGTGGATACTGTCAGAGACCTTGTCAGGAGTTTGGGTTGGGAGCTGTCTTTAATTCCCCTCTATAATAGGCTCTGAGAAGCCGGGCCAAGTAAATTTAGGCAACTGGATTCGGAGGAAAGTTGAAGAAGAAAAAAAAAAAAACTTGGCAGGCACATAATGGCAGGCAAACAATGATAGATATACAGATCAACCATCTGTTGTGCAATCCTTCCTGCTGCAGGGACCACACGGCTTCGTCTCAAGGCTTCAGTTATGTCGGGGAGATAAGCTTTCACAGCGTTAAGTGATTGCTCCAAACACTTCCTGGCCTGTCAGTGTTTGTATTCTAGTTAGTTTTTTTTTAGCTTGTTTTTATCTATTATGATTAATGATTAAATGAATCTAAGGAAGTGATTAAATAGATCTAGATAATTATATGCCATCTCTTAGAAATACAGGATTCAAGAATTTGTCGTATTAAAAAAAGAAAAGAAAAAAACGTGCAGCATCAAATGAAAGAGGGTTTTATAATGGAGGAATGTTTGCTTGTTGTTGTCGTTGCAGTGTTGAACCAGCTGGAGGAGCTGCTGAGCGACATGAAGGCCGACGTGACCCGGCTGCCTGCCACGCTGTCCAGAGTCCCGCCCATCGCCGCCCGCCTGCAGATGTCCGAGAGGAGCATCCTCAGCCGGCTCGCAAGCAAGGGCACCGAGACGCACACGCCTCCGGTCCGCAGCCCGCACACACAAGCACATTTCTCTATCCTCGTGGGGACTTTCAGTTGACTTCCATTCATTTCTAACCCATTTCTACAGCCTAACCTTGACCCTTACACTAACCCTAACCATTACAGGTTCATACATAATCCTAATCCTAACCTGAACTCAATTCACACCTTGGTCCTAAACCTAACACGTAATCCTAAAACAGCATTTGTACCCATGGGGACCAGACATCGGTCCCCATGATGTAGATTTATGGAAAATGGTCCCCAACATGTAATAAATACACACAAACACACAGTGTAACACGTAGCCTCAGTCACAAGCTGAAACCTGCTGCAGCCGCTATTGGAAGGATGGAGAGGGTCCAATGAAAACACACCGACTTTTTTATTCCTTCACCTCCTCTTGACTCCACAGGCACTTATTCAGCATTTCCTTTTCACCTTACATGACATCCAGTGAAAAGCGCTTCATGATGAACTTCTCTTTCTTCTTGCAGCCCATACCTCCAGGACCCTACGCCACCCCTCAGAACTACGGCGCCCCCTTCACCCCGGCGCCGCCCAGCGCTCTGCACATGGGAGGAGCCAACTACAGCCAGATGCCGCCGGGATCCTTCATATCAGGTCAGTGTTTCAGGGTTGCTGGTTTTTCAAAAGCGCACATTTGTGGTCGAGGGAACATCAGATTATGCTTGATTCCTTTTTTTTTTTCTGTTGGGGGGGGCTCTGATAATTACAGCCGTCAGAGATAATTTAGTGAAGATAAATCCCACAAGGCTTGATCTCTGTGACAGTTTGGTGGTTGATTTAAGAGGGATTTATGTTTCTTTGCTGGGGGCGGGATTTAGCCAAACTAACTGCTGCTGCCTCGGGCGAAGGAGATAAACATAAATCAGCGCAGGTTTGGAGCTGAGGTTTGTCATAAGCCCCTCGGAATAGCAGACGTGGGCACTTCAGGTTCCTATTGGATTGCATGATAAGAATCGATGAAAATCATCAAATCCTGCAAGACAAATAGAACAAAAACTTCATAATGTTTAATGCGGCAGCATTGAAAAAAAAAAAAAAGGCTCTGCCTGCAGTTTATTAGAGAAAATATTCAAACCTTTTGAACTTTTATGCTTTTTGTCACATTTTTACTGCAAATTCAGTTTTTGTTTTATCAGGATTTTATAATTGTAGAAAAAGTGGTACATTGGTGAAGTTAAAGGATACAAGATTGGAGTTCTGCCCTCTTTGCTCTAATATTTAGTCCGGTCGTCCCTTTTCAGAAGTTCTCTATATTTGAACCATGAGAAGAAGTTTAAACTGAAAAGATCTGTCCTTAAGCCATGCAGGGGACTGAAGGAAGATGTGGAAGGAGATAAGATGAAGTCTAACCTTTTAGAGTTCGTTTAAAATGCCATGGGTTGCAGAAAACTGATACCGCACAGGGAAGCGCGGTGGTGTCAGAATCAGCTGTTGGATGCTTTTTTTCCTGGCATGAACAGGAAGGCATGTTACTTTGTTTGTAGACCGTTAGAAGCTACATATTAAAAACCAAAGCTGAGGTTCTCAGCTTCTAGCAAAGCAGAAAACACGGAGCGCTTAACCCAAACTGCAGTTTACATCAAAGAGTATCTGTGTTAACACGACCAAGTCAAATCCAGACCTTAGATTAAAAGTCTGTTTGCAGATGCACTCCATCTGTTGTTTAGAGCTAGAAAGGACCCCAGGAGACCTGCAGCAACTGGAATTTCTGCAAAGTCTTGATTCAGAGTCTTGTTTTTTTATATAGAAAGTCAGACACAGAGGTGAGTAGAAAGTAAAAAGTAGTATTTAAAGAAATTACTCAAGTTAGAGTAGAAATGCATTTGGTAAAAAGGCTGCTAAAGTACTGAGTAACTGATCTGCTTACTACCCATCACCATAACAACTGATTTAATATTTTACAAAATGAAAGTTGAAAAAAATTGTAACTGATATGAAAATTCTAGTGTTACACGATTACAGTAATCTTATATAATTCCGTATTTACACCATGAAAGAGTTTTAGGTGGAATGAACACTTTTTAAAATATTTTTTTTCTGAGTTATACTACTTACAAAATCAATAGTTAAAGTTTCTACAATAGGTTAAATTACAGTAATCTGTTTACCGTGTTTCCTCCAAATGACACATCAGACTCTGAGTATAAAAAAGAAGAGCCTGTTTCTCTTAATGGTGCATATTTGTTTAAAACAAGCTAACTTTCATTAAGTGAAGTTACTCACAAAGAATGGAGCAGGCAGACATTTTACTCAAGTAAGAGTAGTAAACCTTTATCATGTTTTTACTCAAGTAAATTTACAAAGTACAATGCATAAAAACTACTTATAAAATATATTTTTTTTCAAGAAGTGATTCAAGTAAAAGTACCTGAATAACAACTAGTTATTATCCACCTCTGGTCATGTATCATTATCCTTCCACTTCGAATCTAGAGATGCATCGATCTACCTGGATCTGATATCGGCTCCGATATCGACTAATTAGCTGGAACCGATATATATCGAGGATTAGGATAAAATACCTAAAGATCTGTTGCATTTGGCCAAGATAGCATGTCTAAATGTGGGAAAGCTAAAGAAGTGTGTATATTTTTGCAGTCCTCTGTTATCACGGCGAATCAATCTGTGGATCAGTGGATGGAGATGGAGGCTGGATTACTGGGTAGAATGAGCTGTTTATGCTCAATAAAACAAGGGATTATAAAGGAGCCAGAACCTGCTCTAGTCAGAAAAGATTTGTGTTTGTGTGGATATCCTGTGGAAAAAAAAAAAACACGTAGAGAATAAAAAAATAAAAGGTGTTCAGAGCTCCTGAGAATCCTATCAATCCTCTAGCTTGTGTTTCCTATATTTGGTTTAGCCGAATTATTTAGGTTTCACATTAGCAACATAAAGAACTACTTTGTGCTATGAGGCCGTTTTTTTTATTTTATCTGCAGCACTTAATCACTTTGATGAGCTTTAGTTGTTAGAAAAAGCGAGGGAGTGTGTGTGTGTGGGGGGGGGGGGGGGGGTCATATCTGGGGGGGAAAAAAAGAAAAGAAAAAACGTGTGGATCTATTGCAGAGTTTCTGATGTGGCTGACAGATAAGACACCTGAAATAGACATTACCGAAAAAAAAAAAAATGTGTTGCTTTGCTATATTAAGGCAAAAACCCTCGCCACTCAGCTCAGCAGTTATAGGATCTAATGACAGATTGTGCAATAATGAAGCCCAGTCTGGACAGGCAGGCTTTGTTTCCTCTGTAAAGTTTGATTGTTACCAAGTTCAAGGTTTTTAAATTTAATTTGCAGAACAACTAAAACAAGACAAAAAAAAAGGTTTTTTGTTTGTTTTTATTTTTCTTTCAGCCTCCTATCTCACCACGCTTGCCTGCTCTCCATCATAGCTCACTGTTACTGTGTGAATTTATTTTCCCGTAATTAGTTCGGCATCTGCATGTGTTCTCCAGACGCACTCTCTGCCCTGCATGTGCGTTCGTGTTCGGAGATGTTTAGATAGCAGAGATGTGGCGGAGATAACTGGTAGAACCTGATACTCCCCCAGTAGCTTCGCTCCAAAAGAAACCACAACAGCCAGCTCCCCCTCTCTCTCTCTCCACCTCCTCTCTGTCCCTCCTTGCCTCCCGTTCGGTGTATCTTGATTTTTTTTTTGTAATTGCAGACTGAGACATCTGTCAAAGGCATTGCATTTCAACGAGCCAGGGGCCTATCGCTGAAAATGTCATTATGCTCGGCCCGTCTGAGTCCGAGTGTGCCAAGAAAACATTCTGACTTTGTACCAAGGTATTTTCAGAGGGAAGCAAACCGCAGCAGGCCTGGTTGTGTAAACGTTGTGTTGTGACTTGTGAACGTGCGCAGGGCAGGGCCCCTGCCGTTTGGTCGCGCAGAAATAGTTGTGCTTCTCCCGTGGTTTTTTTTTTTTCTCTTTTGACTCACCGGGGGCTGTAAGACGGGCCAAGCCTCGTGCAGCCCCCAAAACCTCTGGCAGATTATGAGACCGCATTTACAGTCCTGATTGGGGTCGTGCTGCTTCCTGACCTTTTATGATCCAGCTAGCAGAAGCAGGAGGAGGCGGACCGGCGTTAAAATAACAATCCTCCAATTTTTGCCACCTTGTAATTTCCTACTACATTAATGGCAGTTCATTGAAAGAACGTCCCGCACTCGGGTACACAGAAAATACCCACAGCTAAAGTACACATACACTGCTTTAGCTGCAAATTTCTAAATGCGAGTCTGCAAAAGTTTTCACAGTTGAAGGAAAGTTATAGTTTCGAAAATATTTTAAAATAATTTTTTGGGATCATTCTTTTAACCCAACGCTAGCTATGTATAGGATCGCATTGAAAGCCTGATCAGATCAAAAACCCATTATGGAAACATGTCAGACTGAAGATTCTGATCCAATCAGTTCATCTGATTGCCATTCCTATAGGCGTCCATGTTAACACCGGTTTGGATATTTGGAGTAATGTGTGCAAGACCAGCATGTGATTTTTCTCTTTACTAACCTTCATTCACTGACTCCTGGTCCTTGGTGGAGAAGGTGGATCTAAATGTTAATGCCCTCTTTCCCTGTGGTGAAGGAGTGTTCCTCTGAGCCTTTAACTAAAATGACCACCAAAAAAAAGTATGGATACAAAGATGGGACAAAGATCCATGGACTAAGCAACACCAGCAGCCACAAGCAAAGACCAAGAAATGTGAGGGGCAGGCACAAAGAGTAGCTGAAGTTGAGGATGAGCGGAAAAGTACGACTTTGTTCACAGAGCAGGTGGAAAACTTTGCAATTGCAATTGCACAAAACAGAAAAAAGATGGTCAAGATTGAGTTTGTCAAAGTAGAATAGGGTAAAGACAATCAGTAACTACTCATTTGAGCATACATTTTATATATTCCCCAAAAAGAAGGCAGTTTGATTGGATGCACACTATTTGTAATGCAGCATACCAGGAACCAGATTTGTAATTTCAATCAAATATTTTGTTTTTGCTGAAAGGCTTAAAAGTTTTGTCAAATCCAGTCACAAGAACTTCCAAGAGCGCATCTCACTTCTTCAAAAGAAACTTAGTAACAGGCATGGATGAAGAGATGCTGAACTTGGAAGTAGAGAACAAACCAATTTTGTTTGATCCTAGTTATCCCTATTAGGAAGACCCACAATAAAAAGAAAATGTCTGGGCAGAAACTGCATGTGTGATGGACACTGATGGTTTTTCAAGGCTTAGAACAGAGGACCCAGTTTTAGGAGCAGACAGACAGATTTCTAAAAAAGGTTTATTAAGTAAATGGCTTTGCAGTGAACGATGAGGCTGTCTAAGGCAGAAACCTCTGCAGGGAGAAAACACAGGTTAATGACTATGTATATCTGGAGGAGGATGATAATGTACGTGTGAGTCACTGACCTGGAGTTAAGTCCGAGCCCGGAGGATGAGGATGGTTTCAACTGGTCGGCTGCCAACACGACAGTGAATTCCCAGAGGCCAGAGAACAGGCTGGAGATCAGATCCAAGCAGATTAAAGGAATAGTACACCCAAAACATGATTAGCCTTCATTTTCTACTCACCCCAATGCTGAACAACACTCTGGAGTACTTTTTTGATATCTCAAATGCATCTGGAGATCTGGGAGGCTTCTTGCTGTCTGCTGACATTCAAATAATGGAGGTCTATGGTGCCCGAGGCAGAAAGGTCCATAAAAGTCCACAAAACACGTGTCAATATTCCTCCATACTGCTCGTCCAATGTATTCCAAGTGTCCTGAGTGGGTAGCATCCAGAATCTACTCGAAACGAAGTCATTTAGAATGTTTTTAGAGCATAAACAGTAGTGTATAGTATTTCCTAAAAGCGCGTTCACGAGTCTACGGAAACCGCGGCAGACCAAACCAGACGAAAGTGCGCATTCAGCTCGGCAAAGAACTCATGCTCTTCCTCAACACTGAAGTCCATTTTTCTTTCGTTCTTTCTTTGCACAGGTAAACAGCACATTTCTTCTTCTACGCTTGCATTATCAGCAGAGCAGACGCTGAATGCGCACTTTCATCTGGTTTGGTCTGCCGTGGTTTCCATAGACTCGTGAACGCGCTTTTAGGAAATCCTATACACTACTGTTTATGCTCTAAAAACATTCTAAATGACTTCGTTTCGAGTAAATTATGGACGCTACCCACTCAGGACACTTGGAATACATTGGACGAGCAGTATGGAGAAATACTGACACGTTTTTTGTGGACTTTTATGGACCTTTCTGCCTCGGGCACCATAGACCTCCATTATTTGAATGTCAGCAGACAGCAAGAAGCCTCCCAGATCTCCAGATGCATTTGAGATATCAAAAAAGTACTCCAGAGTGTTTTTCAGCATGGGGGTGAGTAGAAAATGAAGGCTAATCATGTTTTGGGTGTACTATTCCTTTAAGGGAGGCAGGAGAATCCTTTGGGCGAAGCCAAAGACGGTGTCAAAGAGGTGCTCAGGAATCTGGGCCAGGAGATCAGAGATCGGAAGAGATACTGAAGAGAAATCCAGGACAGTGTCAGGAAGCAGTTCCAGCTTCGGTAAACAGGCAGAATCCATCAGGAGTCCGAAAACAGGTCAAGCAAACAGATGAGAACGGGAACAGGCAGGCTATGAGGTCCAAAGGCAGAATGGGTCAGAATGAGGTAATCAGAAACACTTTGATAGGCTACAAGACTCTCACCAAAGGCTCGAAAATTTGGAACTGATTACTGGTTTGAAGGCTGGTTGAATGGAGGTTGGAACAGGTGGATTAGATGATCAGCAATGAGAACCGGGTGGAGATAGGCAGGTGAATGAAATGAGTACACTCCAAAAACAATCCAGAAATCAGTAAAAATTTCTTAAATTAAGTGTATTCACCATTAATTTGAGCAGGTAAATGAGATAGTTTGCCAATGGAATGAGTAATTTTACTCTTAAAATAAGATAATTAGATAATATGCACTTGAAATAAGACAATGCAATTGTGTTTTCTTATTTTAAATGTATATTGTCTTGTTCCATTGGCAAAATGTCTCTTTTACCACCTCAATTCAAGAACAAATGCACCTATTTTAAGAAAAAATTACTTATCTAGATTCAGATTTTTTGCAGCGTAATCAGACCAGTCATCAGCGCCTAGATCATGACAATCATATTAAATTGAGCGTTCATTACCTCATGTGTTGCTCCTATGATCAAGAAATAATAATACTCTCATCAAGCTCCAAGGAAGTCAGAGCGGCGCTGTTACGGCGAACAGAACAGAAGGATCCAGTAATCAGGCAAGACAGACAGTGGGATAACTTAATGCATTTATTTAAGCATGGGTCTGCACTTCAGCAGCTGCAGTGGCTAGGGCGTCTATCTGTAAAAGGAAACACAGGTAAGTGACCACATAAATCCAACGAAGGATGACATGAACACCTGAGTTACTAACCTAGTTTAAGAGTTCAGTCGGTGGGCTCAAGATGCAGCGAGCGCCACCCAGAGTGTCCCAGATGCTGTGACACCGGAGGACGGATAACCAGCAGGAGTCTAAAGCCAGGTTAGGCAAACCGTTCAGACGGGAACAGACAGGCTCAATGGTTGAGAGGCAGAACAGGTCAGGATCAGGTAATCAGAAACACTAAGGAACACTAAAAACACTCAACGCTGGCTTGAGTGAACCAAAATAATCTGGCCCTGATGACTGGATGCAAGCACCTTAAATAGAGGCAGGAGCAGGTGGATCAGATGAGCAGTGATTACAAACCAGGCAGAGTTAGACAGGTGAATGGAATGAGCAATTAAGCCAATCATAAGTGCAAAGATCATGACAGGAGCAAGTCTAGAGGAACCGCAGAGGCTGTAGGCTTTGCTTTGCAGTCTACTACGGTCTGGAACGGAGCAGAAAGGGGCAGGGCGGATAGGGAGGATGTGGAATCTATAATCTATTTAGTTTCCCTTTAAAATCAAATTCTCTAATGGGTTTTCCTAAAGTTTGAACCAGTATGTTTCTCCATCCATCTTCCCACCATTTCCAGCTTTCCTGTCCCCTCTGAGGAAATGTATCCCCATACTTTTATCAGTGGTATACGTTCTGCTCGTATTTTATGACAAATTGAAAATAGGACTTCTTGTGACTTTCTTTTAAAATGACTTTGTTTCTTTTTCTTGTTTTTGTTATTTCAAACCAGATTCTCCCACCTGAGAGTTAGGGTGCTTCTTGGCTGCTTCTCTAAACAGGCCAATTAAGTTGGATTTCTTGGCAGTTTTGCAGCTGGGCTATACTCTTCACCTGTTGAAGATGATTAATTAAATCCTCTAAGAGATGTTTAAAAACATACATCTAATTTAAAACATTTCTCCCTGATCTGTCTGCTTTTTTATTTGGGTTTTAATGATAAAAAGCTGCTGAACCCTTCAGAGATTTATCAGTCGTTGGATTAGATTAAACCAATCAGACACGTTTATATTTACTTTTTACTATTTAACCTTCTGAAGGTAATCGGTTGCTTTTGATTGATTCAAATCAAAACCATCAATCGTTCTCTTTTTTGTTTACATTGAAGTTTGAAATCGTAAAGAAAATGCAAAGAATAAAAAAATAAATCGATGCATATTAATGGTTTTTGCAATGCACTGCATATCAGCAACATCTGGAGCTGAATTTTTGGGAAAAAACCTGTTTTTGTCATCAGGAGGCCGTTCAGCTCCGCTAATGGACTCACATTCTAGCCAAAGCTTTGTCTTTTTGAAGCGTATAAATTAAAGTGGTAGAGCGGAGCACATGGGAGCACCTGCACTGCTGATATCCCCCACCCTCCCAGCAGCTCCTGTAGCACCATCTCTGACCTCTTGACCTCCCTGCAAGGGAGGGAGGGAGTTAAAGAGAAGTCCCTTTGGGGATGTGTAAAGTGTCACATTATCCTGCTCCCCCCCCTCTCTCTCCGAGCCTCCACTACAAGTCTGCCGCTTGTCTGCCCCCACAGAAGCCGCCGCCGCTGCCACTGCTGCTGCTGGGGCCACCGGGGGAGCCGCTGGTGGAGCCGCATGGGGTTCGACTGCCGCCGGGGTTTTCCAGAAGACCAAGGAGCACGATGTGATGCAGCGGCAGCGAGTGGTGGACCTCTGGAAAGACGGCAAGTCAGAGGGAGCCATCGGGCTGGAGCTGAGGATGCCCAAATCCACCGTGCACAGCATCATTGTCAAGTATCGGCTTAGCAACACGGTGGAGAACCTGCCCCGCAACGGGCGACCAAAAAAGCCCTGACGGATGGAGAAGGGGGGACGGTTCTGGAATGTAGCTAAAAACTGGATTTAAAAAACATGAACAAGTAAGACGAAGCTCCAAAGAAGACCTTACAACAAAGCACTTAGGCACTGCTGGAATGTGAGATGTATAAAGACCGAAATCTTAAGAAAATATAGATGCTGAAGGATTAAAAAAGCAAAACATGAAAAAAGGACAGCACTTTGACCCACAAAAGAAGGCAAGCAATCAACTGCTTTGAAGAGTGGACCAAAAATAAACAGGGAGAGATAAAGGGTGCTGCTGAGAAAAAAAAAAAAAGCTTAAAAAAAAAATCACCGGAATGAGAAGAGGAGGACTAAAAAGGAGAGAATGTTAATGCAATCATTTTTTTTTTTCAAAGAAAAATGCAGCAAAAAGGATTTTTTTAGATATTCTCATGCAGATTTCTTTAGACTTCTTTTTTCTATGTTTTTTTTCTTCCTTTGAGCCAAAAGATTTCCCTACAGATCAATCTTTCATCTGCAGACGGACTGAACAAGCCGGTTCCCTCGATCTGACCCCGTACTCCCTCATTCCTCCGCATCCCTCGCGTCCTACACACACATACATGCATAAATATACAAACACTGGAGCTCTCAAGCAACCTGAAAACCTGCAAAGAACTCAACTTTATCATCTTGAAACGGAGCAAGATCAAATCCAAGCTCAAAATAGAAAAAGAAAAACTGGGCCACGATCATCTCGCAGGGAGGAAAATTAGGAAAATACGTTTAAAGCGCTTCATCCCATGGATTGTCCTGTTTAAACTCAACCAAGCCTAAATCCAAAACTTTTTTCTTGCCTTTTATAAATTAATCAGTAGCAGCTCACCCAACCTGATGAGCTGCCAATGAGATATATGCTGTAACGCAACTGGAACAATGTAACTTGCTCTTGCACCTTTTTTAAAAAATGCCAGATTGTATTCTAACAGTTCTCTCGCTCTGTTGAAGTACCTACATTTCCTGTTTTTAGACCTCATGACAACAGAAAGCTGTATTTACGAGCCGCTCTTCCTCATAGATGAAGCCTGCAATCTGTCACTGAAAGAAAAAGGGAAGGCTCGCTTTGAAGCTGGAAGAGACATTTTTGTTCCTCGATCTACTTTAATGTGACAGCGTGATGGATTCCACTTGGAGGAAAACGTCCCTTGATCCCAGAGAAAATAAAACACTCCCGTCTGCATTATCGCTTTTTTCCCAAAACCCGAAAGTGTGAGTGCAGCAAAGCTGTGCCTAAAGTCTTATTGTGAGATTAAAACAATGAAATCCCTACGCCTGGGATGGGGCAAAATGAAACGTTTCAGTTAAAACAGTAAAAACTTGATTGGGGTGTGTGGATGTTATGATGCTAAATTTGCCTTGTGTTTCCCTTTAATTTTAAAGGTGAATGTGTGGCCTGCAATGAGTATACAGTATGTGTTCACATTCACAAGTGTTGAATCCTTGCAGATGTGTGCAATTGTGCATGGTGATATAGAGATTTTTATAAAATCTAGATTTTGTATTTCTAAATGATTGTGCCAAGGATTCCTTTCGTTTTAATTGTTTTTTTTGTTTGTTTACTTTTTCATCGTAAAGCTTTTGGTCTTTTAACACATTTAGCCAAAGAAACTCAACTCTCTAGACCAGATTTATATTTAAATTTAAATAAATAATAAGAAAAAAACACATTAAAGCAAAGGTAAATGGGAAAATGCGACTGGAATATACAGAATGTGTGAAGAGGAATTTAAAGTTTGATGAAATAAGCATGCTAACATAAGCTTTTTTGGATTCAGTTCAGTAACCTGTTGTATTTTTAATTTTCTCCTTAAAAAATATCAGTAATTTCAATCTGAACCAAGCCAAGATGTAAGTTAAAACCTCACTATAGGGGACCTAATTATTTCCCTTCTACTAGTTAGCCACATCAGCTTTACAATGTCAACGATTCCTAGAAAAATGGTGATAGAAAACTTTAAATTTGCTTTTAATTTTGTGCCAAAAAAAGGAACAGAATGAAACACTAACTAATGTGGCTGCAAATGCATTGACACAATTATATTGTTTATTTCTCTTATCAGCATATTTATCCTTTGAAAATTTTGGCAAGGGTAAACATGAATTGAATATTTCTGATTTAAAAAAATGAAAAGTAATATATATTTCATCCCTGCTCACTGGAGCTTTCTTCTGCAGAATGTCTTATTTAACAATTGCTAGTTTGCCTTAAATAACAGAAGGTCAGGGGACTTAAAACTGATCCGAGTCAATTTCCGACTCTTATATTCCATTATTCTTGTATTTCCTCTGCAGCCACTGTTAAATCGATAAAAAATTTGCATTGAAAAAACAGTTTGTGATTTATTTAATGTGAAATACTAAACAAGCAGTCGTAATAGGAACGTTTGAACTCCTGCTTATCCATCTTAAGTGCAGTAGTCTGGTTCGATCCTGTTGCCTATACCTTCTGACTCGAGGTTAACTCAAAATTTCCTACTCAGAGGTTGAAAATGTCGACTCCCGAGTCCAAAATGATTATGATAGTTAGCGAACATGGTAGCTACATTAGCCTTTTAATATCAAAATGGATCAATAGTCGTCATGTTTCCAGATCAGTGTAAATGTTGTAAATTCTTTGTAAATCTCCTTGTGTTTTCTAAAAAAGCAAATGTTTGGTTAATATCAAGGAGTCTGGAGACAATAAAATTCACTTGAATTGCACCCCCAAAAAAAAATTTTTAAGCTTTTTTTTTATTTTAAAATACAGGTTTGCCTTTTAACCAAAGAAGAAAATAATAAAAAAAAAAAACTGGCTAAAATGAACTACTTTGGTGTTAATTCACTATCCTGCAGTTTATCGTTGTTTTAAAATTTCTCCCACAACAATGACTTTTAGCTGAAATATTTGCCACATGTTTGCATAAAGCCTTAAGTAGAAACTACAGTATATGTATATCCATTTCAAAGCAAATCATACTCTGGATTACCTCCAAAAAGGAACATCTGAATATAGAACTACTTAAAAAGGTTAGTTATCCATGGGGGGTTCTGAAAGAGGGGTCAACGGGGGCCAGTGCCCCCTTTTTTTTACCCTGTAATGGGCGTAATACTGGAAAAAAAATATGATAGGTAAAACAGTAACTAATTGGATCTATTTCATTTTTTTTAGAAGTTGCACTTTTAGCTTCAGTGTGTTTAGACAAGATCACATTTTTTCGTCTGTTATATCTGGGTTTCCTGAGCTGATAATCACTCACTGGTTCTGAGCACTAATAAATCCCTTTATTGTAGCATCAGAGAGTGAGTCTATGAACTACATTTATTACTACTATACACCTTTTCTCAGGAACAAATACAAATCATTTTAAAATAAAGCAACTGGGCAAATAATAAAAGTGTGTGATTACCTTTGCAATGGTTAGTAGAGGGTTTTTGTATATTTAAATGATCAAATATAAGCACTGTATGATTACCAGGCTCACCTTTCGTCATATTATTATCTGGATCAGGGCTGCAGAGACCAATTTAAAGCAAAACCTTATTGAGTTAGAAATTTCTTGATTAGACTCCTAATCTTGGGTGCATATTTGCTATAAACAAAACAAATCTATGGTTTGTGGTCTTAGTACAAAATAAACAATTATTTCCCCTTTTATTATTAGTGTTTTTCAATGTAACTATCCTGGAACAATTCAAATAACGTGCATGTACTTTGACGCACACTGGTTTATCAACCTGTTGCACTCAAACAATATATTTATATATATATAATATATATAATTCCTATAATAAATTCATTACATGTTGTGTTTTTTTTTATTTGGATATTCATTCTAAAACCAGCAAGATAACACTTTAAAATTCCTGATAGGTTGACTCGTTCTAGATATCGGTTTGTTCCTGATTAAAGAATTTACCGGAAATGCATGCATACATGGTTTTATAGAAGCCAATATATTTTGTTTCCTGCTTGGAAGCTAATATTATCTTGATCAGATCTACAAGGGAGAGACGCACCAAGACTTCTGCCAAGCTTTTGTAAAAAGCCGGGAGACATGTTGTATCTTCCTTGATGTCTGGTTTGTCTTGCCTTAAATGCAAACAAAAGAAACATGGATAACTTACTTTGCTGCTACTGTGAAGCTAAAATACAGGCAGAAAATACAAATGTTGACCAAAATTCAATATGATGCTTGAATCAGAAAAAGGGATCTCTTTTTTTTTCTTTCTTTTTTTTTTCTTTTCTGTATGTCTCTGTTGACTTTGAGTAATTATGAGTCATTTATGAATAAGATTTTTTTTGTCTTCTTTTATGATGTTTCTTGGGAAGAAGTTGTCTTTGCGGCCTACTTAGAGTAAATAAAAGCAAACTTTAGTTTGCCTACTCTTAAATCATGAGCAGAATAATTAGTATAACTCTTTAAAAAAAGGCCTAGAGGCTAAAATGAGTAGTGGTGTCCCACAGAGATGAGTCGTTGGCCCCTTTGTTTTAAAGTTACTCGCTACCTCTTGGAACATTTTTTTTTTTCTATAGTACTTACTAGAACATCTTACTTTCACCAGTTAAAGATATATGAGAGCTTTTTATAAAAAAATGGCATCAAAGGCTTCTACTTTGATATCTTTCTTAATGTTGTTTCTTAAAACAACCCTTCTGTAGACAGACAGTCTCCAGCACTTTGGGAGAATGTTTCATTTCTGGGCTGATCTGCTGGTCTCAGTTAAAAACCCTTGTTCCACTTTGTTTTTGTCTCTTTGTTTCACATTGCTGCTCCTACAGCATTTTCCTCTGTTTTGCAGCCTTTGCTCTTTTACCCAGTCTTTACCTTGGTTTTCTTCTGTCTCTTATCAGATTTTGGCTGCTCCTACCATACACACACACACGCACACACACTCTTAGTTATTTCTCGCTGGCTCCTCTCTTGGCCTCTGCTGGCAAAATGCCATACTTTTTCCCATAACTGGTCCCCACTCAAATACAGACACCCGCATATGCACAGTTTCACCTTTTTTCTCATCTTCAGCCCAATGCCCACAAATCACTTCTTTGATCTGTGAGTTGGTGTTTTCCGACAGTTTATCTTTCCCTATGGTGCAAGTGAGAGCTGTCCCGTGTTGTTCTATTCCTGGCTTTTGTTTTGAAACATGCTCTAAACTCGCCGTTTTGCTCTGTGAAAACCCACCAATGTGGGAAACACATACCCCATGCTGGCCAGCTGTGCTGTCGTGCAGAAAGATGTTAGTTTTCATCCATGTGTGTCTGTGTCCTTATGTGCCTGTGCATAAAAAATACGT